GTAACAAATGTGTGTACTTTTGACACCACTGTAACCCAGAGCAGCTGGGTCAGAATAAACCCAGTGGAAACTGAATCAGAGCACACTGAGGTTTCCCACCAAGGGGAAAAGACTAACACTAAACTGGAAATTAATCTAATAACAGAAAATGAACAGGAATAAAACCAAACCTAAAAGGGGCTCTGATATGGCAAGCCTAAAACAAGCATAAATAGAAAGCAAAGACACACTGAATCATCAACACATAGAAAACCCAAACACAGAGAATGTGACAGAGTTGACATTTGCTGTGTGAACAGAAGTGACAATCAGAAGCTCTTTTTATCTCTTTAAGCTTGAAGGAATATCCCCCTCCAGTAAACAACCCAGAGCTCGACAGCGTCAGTACCAGGTAATTATTCATTTCTGACAGTATGTGTGATTTAAATTGCAGATCAGACCCCCACTCACGTAAAACTTTGTCTTTTTCTGAAGGATGGAAAGGGATTCCCTGCAGGGGACATGGTGTGGGGTAAATTACCTGGAATTTCTCTATGGCCTGGATTGGTGATGACTTGGAAATCCAAGCACCCACCCCCAGGCATGCGAAGGGTTGAGTGGTTTGGAGATGGGATGTTTTCAGAGGTAAAAAAAAAAGTCTGGGCTTGTCATGCAGTTTTTGATTTTTCTATCTCTAGTCTGAATACAAAAACAGTTCTTTGTATCTGATGGAGGAGTTTCTGTTGCAGGTCAGCACAGAGACATTGAAGCCATTCAGTTCCTTCACCTGGTGTTTCTGCAAAAATTCCTTTGCTAGTTTGCCAATCTACAGGGACGCTATCTACCAAGCCTGCGAGGTAATCAAAGTAAACATGTTTCTACCTGAAGGAATATTTTCAGCTCTCTAAGCCCCTGCTATGTCTGTTTGCTCCTCCGTTGCCTCCCTTTACTTATTTTATTTACAACTTGCAAACTGCATCATGTTTAGGTCTAAAACACAGAAAAATTTAGATACAATTCTAAACCTTTTTGTTTCTGTCATGTAACATCCAAAACATTCATGTATTTCCTGGATTTGTTTGCTTGATTTACCGATAAAAAGCAGTGCCTAATTGTACTCATTAAAACTCCTTTTTACAAACACTCTGTATGAGCTTAAACTATTTTGCCAAGAAGAATAAAAATGTCAGTCGCTAAATGTGCAAAGCTGTTGGACACCTCTAACTGCAGTGAACTAAGTAATAAGACCAGGAACTGGATGTAAATGCAAACATTTGTTGGATTTTCATATGCAAAGATCCTTCCTCTTCTTGACCTCTTTGAGGGAACATGCCCTCTTTAACAAGAACAACACGCTTGAAGCTTAACTCAGAGCATCATATGTCTAAGGCTATGTTCACACTGCAGCCTAAAGTGACCCAAATCTGATTTTTTTGGCCCATATGCGACCTGTACCTGATCTTTCTTGGCAGTCTGAACAACACAGATCTGATTTTTTCCAATGCGACCCTGGCCACTTGGCTATGTGGTCCTAAATCCGATACGAATCTGATCTTTTCAAATGCGACCTGTGTCTGAACGGCCAGGTCGCGTTCATCCGACAAAGGTTACTATTCTGGGTCTTGCTATAAAGAAGCAGCAAGAAAAACAACAAGCATGGTGGACGACGATGCAGAGACCATCTTGAAAAAACTCAGTTTTTATGTTTGGGTAAAGATCGCTACATACGCTCCGGCACTACGAACCATGTTTACTTCCGTAAACACAGTGCACGCTGGCCTATGACGTCATTGCTTCGTCTACTGCACATGCCAGCCACTTGGGTTGTATGACTGCAGTTCA